AATTTGAATAAATTTTTTACATATGTTTTGAAATAAAAACAAAGAAGATATTCTTTTAATCTTGAATCGTTTCTTAAATCTTGAAAACAATTTATTTCAACTTTGACATAACTAAAAAGTCTTGATTATTAAAGGTAACGTTATCCCTTTATATAGTTGGTTTTATATAGTATACATTACATTGCAGAATTGACTGGCAAATGAGTAATCCAAATGTAAGCTTACTTGCTAATGATAAAACCATGATCAGCTGGATTGAAGTAAACAAAAATCAGCAGTAAATGCCTTCTAATGCTATTCTTATGGAGAACATTGTACGTTATATCTAATTTTGTGTTAAGATTTTGGGAATTTCACTATTTTTCCCGCCGTCACGGGATAAAGACCTTTAATTTGAGCCCTCTCACGTCGTTCTACGACTTCCCAGTCGCCCACAATTTTGACGCAAAGAATCGGCTTATGTAATTAATATATAGATAGAATAGATTTCTTGTATATTCCCATGAAACTGATAATTTACCCAGCACATTAAGGCCTTTATTCCAAGTATCTCAGTTCATAAACCATACATACAATGTGACGATAAAATATCAACAAAATAGCATGTAGTTTTATGTAATCCTCACGACATTTCATTTGGTCCATTGACTTTAAATCCAATAATTGTAAAAATTATTGGAGCTTTGAAAAAAACTTCATATGAAATCCTTACACTAATAAAAGACGACGTCATGAGCGCGGGAAATGAGCTACAGCGGCTAGGGCATAGCCACATGAATACAGAACGGAATGAAGGAACTAGAACGGAGAACTGGCAACAGCGCACGCGAGAAGTAGGGGGGGCGCACACACCGCTCAAGCACTAAAACGCATTAGTGGCATCCTGTCCACACACTGTTGATATATACCGTTTTGTGGCATGGTGCCACAATTTAAAAACTGGAATGTTAGATGTTAAAATGGAGTGTTCATTAAAAATATCGATGCAGACATGTTTCTACCACCTTCCTTCATCCACTGGTGGCCGCAAGTTGAAAGATGCCACAATTAGGTGTTTGCGAGTATTCGGTAAAACCCCGTATGTGTGTGTGTGTGTGTGTGTCCGTTAGCACGATAACTCGAGAAAAAATGATCCGATTTTGATGAAATTTGGTACAAACGTGTAAACCTACGTTTATTCGAACGAGTTCGCGATCCAGCATGATCGGACCATGGGAACGGGGGTTTACGGGGGGTTTTATGGGGTAAAAATAGGTTTTTCTCATTTTTGACCCAAAAAACATAAAATTTAGCAATTTCTTTCCAAACCATTTTGTAGAGCTTAAAAAAACAAATAATTTATTATATTGAAGCGCTATTATGCGCCTAATGGTTACGGAGAAAATTAAAAAAAAATGTAAATTTAAAATTCCCATGTTATTCTTATAGAGAATAAGTAAACTGTTGTAGTTTGCTTGTTTATGAACATATTTTGATCAAATTTGGAAAATGTTTTTATTTCTTACTAAATAACTATTAACATTTTACAAAAAAAAAAAAAAAAAAAACAGTTTTACCCTCCCTGATGCAGCAAACCTAAGTACTTGTTAAAACTAATTCTATTTAAATCGGGAATAAGTGTTATATTTTTAAGTAGACATTTCAGTGTAAATCCAATCAGTCAAATGGAAATTCGCTTAGTCTGCAGGTTTGCTGCGGCGGGGGTATTTATTTAATATGGTATTTACTTAATATGGTACTTCTTTTACTTAATATATTTTAATCAAAATAATTCGAGCCACTTTTGTGAAAATATTATTTATGTGTGTGAGTGTATTTGTACAGAGCTACAGACTACACCTGTGGCCCAAGTTTGATGAAATTTGGTATGTGGGTAAATTTGGTACTCATGGTATCTCCAAGTGTATGTTTAGGTTTTCAGTAATATTGATTTTTAATGATGATTTCCCTATAAGATAGAAAAAAAATTGATTGTACAAAAAATGCTCCAACGATTTTGATTAAAATATAGTCTGTTTATTTACCTCTAAACGATATAGTACAACCCCAATTTCTGCAAAACTCACTGTCCAAAAGTTACACCCAATACATTATAGGAGTTGTTGTCAATCCAATGGGGAAAGTATCAGTCGGTTTGCTGATACCGTTTATTTACATAAATCATGCTAGGTTGCCTTGTTTACCAAACACGCCTAAATTGTTCCGCTTTATCTGCTGCTGAGCCCGTTATTGGTGCAGAATTTGGACTGTCCTACAATCTTATCCACATATACCGGTGTCTTCCTTTCACGGACCGCTGCAAAGTCAAAGATTTGGTTCTAAACGAAAAACGGGATTTCCTATAAAATCAAATACATACACGTTCTCCTCTCTACCCACTACTCTATTACAACATGACATACAACACAACCTGTAACCTATCAACAAATGATGTTTCTAGGAATGTCGTTTACGTTTACGCCAAAATTAACTTCCCACACGTTCACGTGTTCGTGTTGATGCGATCAGCTGATTAGTGTTTGCGGTGTGCGTGTTCGTGTCAATCTATACACGTTGCCAAGCAGCGGTTGACCAATGACACTGGTTTGACCTTCAAACCATTGTTGTGTGACCTTGAACTGTAATTACACCTGGATCGCTTTATCATCCGCACAATGCTACCCTTGAATATCGTCTTCATCCCCTTTGATTAGATGGTTTGAGTGGCGTTGTCCATTATTTGACGTGTGTGTTAATTTGGAATTAGTTTGAATTAATTTCCAACACGTCGCCGTTTAAATAAGTAAAGTAAAATTAATTTACATGGTAAAGTGTTTCTTCAATACTTTTTAAAAAACAATATTTTATTTTTAACTGTTATTACCAATAATTATAACTTTACACAGTGCATGTGAAAAGTTTCGGAACGGTTTAGTAATTTTCAACTATTGTAAACTAGCTGTGACCCACGGGCTTCACCCCGTTTGACTTCATAAGTATTAATTAATAAAACTATTGATTGGTTAAGTTAAGCTGAAATAAACAAATAAGTACAGCTGAGGTATTTTTAACATTAGGTATATGGAAAGTTCCCTTTAGAAAGGAATTACGACCTTAAAGGGCAATTTATGAAATAATGGATAGTTTTGCGCAAGGTTTCACGTCATTACGAATATTTTAAGTATATGGTTTATGGGGGTGTGACTTGTAGTTTTCTCAAAAGTTCATGGGTACTTTGGGCTTTATATATGGATAAAACGGTATAAGTATGTTCACTCAGTCATTTTTAGCTCAAATTTGCTGAATTGTATTCTACTAATAAATAAATATATTCTACTAATAAATAAATACCTCTTGTGTGACGTGCATATCAACCATTGATAAAAATTATTAATGATTTTCTTCCTTTATCGCATCGCCAAATAATTATTTTAAAATAGTTTTCGTGAATGGTAACTTTGTTCTTTAGCTCTCGCTATCTTTATAATTTTTAAAAATATAATGGTACAGTGGAACCTCGATAAGAAGACCCTCGATAACAAGTCACCCTTGATAACAAGTGTCATTTTCAAAACCCCTTGAATTCATTTTACCCCTTACCACATGTTACTGCAAACCTCAATAAGGAGTCAACCTTGATAACAAGTCTTATTTAATAATCCCCTTGAGAGTCTTGTTATCAAGGTTCTACTGTATAAAATTAGTAAAAAATGATGGTAAAAATTGGTAATTTCACAATGTAGGTTTGATAATGAAGAAACGATAGAACTAATGGAAAAAATAAACACACTTAATTTAGAAAAAAATATATGAATGACGGATTTTTACCCGGAGTATATTTCAACTACTATTTAGCATAAACATGTCCAGCTCCAATCTCGAAGTCGATAGTCCTTGACCAGTGTGTAAAATTAGACCCTCCATCTAACTTGTTTTAAATCTTTATATCTTTGTGTATGCTAGTTTTAAAAAGGAATTGCGTTTACATCAATTTATATCCGTTTTAATATCACTATGACATTAATATATTATTGTTCAATCTTAGTTTTTGGTCGTAAAGGGGTGAAAGCACCAGTGAATGAACGTTTTAGCATTAAAACATTATATTAAGCCTTTTGTTTTGCCCATCCGCGATGTCTACCTTATCAAAAACAGTCTTAAAAAGTAACTTTGGAGCCTAATCTACACTGTACCAAAATGAAAGTTCGTATCATGAACAAAATTAAGTTTTCGAGCCAGTCCAACTCAACTTATCTATATTGTCTCGCGAACATGGTTCTTTGATTATTGATGGGCACTGCAACATACTTCTGTGAATCAAGTAAACATGTTGGCACAACTCGCGTACTCGCCGATCAAAATCTTAAACAACCGTGTTATTTAAAGAGCATTTACTGATCACAACTTTGGGTATGGTATAACCAGTGAATTAACGTTCCGGTCATTAACTAGGGTTGAATCATGTTTTAGAAACGATGTAATGGGCTTTTATAAACGTTTTTGATAAAGAAATAGTTTATCTTAGTCCGATACAAAACTATGATACCCCCAACGCAGCAAATCTGCAGACTAAGCTAATTTGCGTTTTCGAATCGATTTTTACTTAAATATTTCCAGAAACAAGTCACATTTGCCTATTTAGATTTAACAAGTATTTAAGTTTGCCGTTACGGGGAATGGGAAAAAGGGGGTTCGGTCAATTGTTAATTGGATAAAATAAACAAATTAGCCAAATTTAATGAAAATAAAAACTACAGAAGTTTTACCCCATAAGAATAACAAGAAAGTTTTAAATGTATAGTTATTTTTAGATCTTATCCGTAAAATTTACAAAAATGATACAATGTATGAAATTGTTTAAATAAGCTCTACACAATGGCTGAAAATTGGGCATTTCCATGCTTATGGTCAAAAATTTGAAAAGTTTCAAAATCACAGTTTGTTAACGGGGATAAAAATAAAGTACAGTGACATTACTCCTGATTTCAACAATCAACTACTCCTACAAGAACCTATAAAAAATGTATACTATAAAAAATTCCTTGTCACACATCAAGGTAAACCCCCTCTATAGCCGTTCCTCATAAATATATCGTGAGAAACAAGACCTGTATTTTCTCTCTTGAATTATATATACCTTGTATTGACTTATAAGAACGGTTGCGTAGAAACTGATTGGGGATGGTCACAAACGGAAGTACTTAACCGTTGTAGCACTTTGACCTTTGGTGAAATTGTTTTGACATCGATCTACGACCTATCAATGTGAGTGCAAAATAACAAGTACACAGCCACAACAATGTAAACGGTTGGTAATCATATGATTTGGTCATCGACCGATATGACGTCATTCGGTTCTCGTTTAAATTTGTTAAGTGGTTTACAGTGTCATTTTGTTGCGCCACAACAAATTGTAGGGGGATGATTCGTGAACTGTCACGGTTGGATAGAGTCTGCATTTGAACGTTTCGAATCAGTCTTCCTGTGTTTAGTTCATCATTTCGAAGGGATGGTTATTTTAATTTAAGGACTTTTCCTACTAAGTGTTTTGACTACACTACGTTTCGGAAAGTAGTTTTTCCGAACTCCTGGCAGTTAACTCCAGAACTCTTGGCAATCAACGACCAAAGGAATATAACTGTTGAAAATTTCATTAATCACCGTCACATCAAATCTAGGCTACAGATTACGAATTTCGAGGGGCATTTTAAACGGAAATTTCTGAAAGAGTACAACGCAATTGATACTGGCGGGAGCGTCAACCTTCCCTCAATTCTTCCAGCTACAAAAACAAACGTACAATATATAGTGGTCGAAGTCGACTACACAGCGGAAGAAGTAATTAAAGAGCATGATGTTTGTCATATTTTAACTAGCTCGCTTGGCCACGACGAGAGCTCGATAAGACCCTTAGCCTGTGTAATATATATGAACAAAAAAAGCTCTACACTATTTATAGAATTATATTTTAGCAATTTTTTGTTACAGGAGCAGGATGGCAGAGACAGTGAAAGTCATCGTAAGATGTCGCCCAATGAACACACGGGAAATGCAGCTCAAGTGCAAAGTAAGTCCAAGAGTAATTTAGAAATTCCTTAGTGTTTCTAAGACTTCAAAGTGATACTTTCCTACTTGTTAGGTTTTTACAAATAACCAAATTGTAACAAAACTTTGCGTCTTGATCAACCAAGGATAAGTTTCTTTCGAGGAGTGATCGAACCCACACAAAGGATGCTTCCTTAAAGTGACTCCAGTCACTAACTTGTTGTGTGAGCGACAATAACGCTTCTAGGAACTGTCGATGATCGATGGTGTTCGATGTAATTGGGCCAGCGTGAGTCAGGATCGATCCCATGACGTCATCGATCCTGTGACGTAATGCTAGTTCCACCACTAGCCAGCTGTTATCAGATCTACAAGGTCAAGGGGGTTCGCGTGTGAAGTTTGCGTGAACACTTACCCTTGGCCTGTAACCTAATAAGTATCTTAGATTACGCCTTGAACGCCCTGAATCACACCTATATTCAGTGGTGTGACTAAAATACGTTTTGTAATGTTTTCTTCAAAAATGTAATTTTAATTTTCACCACTTCGTACAGAAAGTAGGCAAATATATAGGATAGGTACTCCAAACAGATGATTGTAAATCAATGGACGAATGAAACATTCCCTAGCCCTAGTTAAAGAGCAAGGGGAAAAAACAATCAGCTGATTTTTTTTATTGCTCTCGATTCAATCAGTTCTCCATGTGCCCACAGCGAGCGCTAGTGTTTGTTTTTGTTTACATTTTTTCATTATTGATAAGCTGTTATTTATTTTACACTGTTATTCACCAGTTATGTTAAATTTAAGTACCGAAATATTTCACAAAGAACCAGGGGACGTATTTTTCAATAAATACACGGACTGGAATCAATTTCGAAATTTTATAAATCAAAACTTAAATTTACACATACAGCTACGTAGTCCTGAAAATGTAGAAGCTGCTGTTGATCACTTTGTTGACTGTATTCAAAATTCTGCCAAAGAATCCACACCTCTACCTAATCATGAAAAATCAGAGAAAATAGGCCTAGGCTACCCAATTCATATCAAGAAAAAGATAGCAGAAAAGAGACGACTCAGAAGAATTTGGCAAAACTCAAGAAACCCAAATGATAAGGCCAACTTTAACCGAGCAGCACGGAATTTGGAAAGATTATTGTACGACACAAAAAACCGATGGTTTGAAGAATATACTCAATCTTTGTCGGCTACGGAAGCTACGGATTACTCGTTATGGAAAGTAACAAAAAGGCTGAAGCAACCCCAAATTTCAATCCCACCAATTCGTAAACCGGATGGAAGCTGGGCTAAGAGTGACATAGAAAAATCTGAAGCTTTCGGGGATTACTTTTCCAATGTATTCAAGCCAAATGTAGGTGTGGTCAATAATGAAGAAGAAATAATAGAATTCTTGGACTCTCCACTTCAACTTGACTTTCCTCTGGAAAAATTCAGACCTACAGAAATTAAGGCAACCATTGACAAATCGCTAAATCCGAAAAAAATCTCCTGGTTACGATTCTATCACTGGGAAAATGTTAAAAGAACTGCCAAGGAAAGGAATGATTTTTATTGCATTTCTCTTTAATTCTATATTGAGACTAGACCACATACCAACTCAATTTAAGAAAGCCCAATTAATTGTTATACCAAAACCAGGAAAACCTCCTCATGAAATCACTTCCTACAGACCTATAAGTCTCTTGCCTATAGTGTCCAAGTTGTTTGAGAAATTGTTCCTCAAAAGACTACAAGCTCTTTTTGAAGAAGACGACGTCATTCCAGGACACCAATTCGGGTTTAGACGGAGACATGGCACCGTGGAGCAGGTCCATAGGGTTGTTCATACAATTCGAAACTGTTTGGAAAACAAACAATTTTGTTCTGCTGCTTTCCTTGATGTCAGTCAGGCATTTGACAAAGTATGGCACTCTGGCTTACTATTCAAAATTAAGAAGTTACTACCCCATTCAGTTTTTCCTATTTTAAAATCATATCTTACCAACAGAACTTTCCAAATTAAACATCAAAATTACTTAACTGACCTTTACCCTATAGAATCAGGAATCCCCCAAGGAAGCGTGCTTGGACCATACTTGTATATTCTCTATACATCGGACCTACCAGAAAGTGTTAACACTATGGTTGCTACATTTGCGGATGACACGGCGATTTTATCTGTCCACGACAATCCAGCTCAAGCTACAGCAAATTTACAGCTAAACTTGGATGAAATTTCTCATTGGTTTAAAACATGGAGGTTCAAAATTAATGAAAATAAATCAGCACACATTACTTTTACCTTAAATCAGGCTACATGTCCTCCAGTATCCATGAACAATATTCACCTCCCTCAAGTAACGGAAATAAAATACTTGGGCATGCACTTAGATGCAAAGCTTAATTGGAAGGCACATATCTGGACTAAAAGGCAACATCTAAATTTAAAAACAACTAAACTTAATTGGCTTCTTGGATCTAAATCAAAACTCAGAACACAAAATAAATTGTTACTGTACAAAACAGTTTTAAAACCAATTTGCACTTATGGTATTCAGCTTTGGGGATCAGCAAGTACCTCAAACATTGAAATTATTCAACGTTACCAATCAAAATTATTACGTAAAATTGTCAACGCTCCTTGGTTTTTTTGTTACCAACAGAACACTTCACAATGATCTACAAATTCGAACAGTCAAAGAAGAAATTACAAAATCTAGTGAAAAATACATTATAAAATTGGAAAATCATTCAAATCATCTTGCACTTAATTTATTGGACAATCACAACACCATTTACAGACTGAAGCGACATACGATATTGGACCTACCATTCAGATTCGGCTAAGTGTTATCAAAATTCTCTTTGTTTGCTAGTGTTGACGGTGGTCAATCACTAGCTCATGTTCTTCAAGTTATTTTTGTATTACTATTTATATCATTTGCTTATTGTTCAACTTGAACAGATTGTAAATTAAATAAAGTTAAAAAAAAAAATTTACACTGTTTAACTTTAACAAATAATAACAATACAGTGAATACTGAATATAAATGTGCATAAGATAGTTTTTAATGTGTTTTTAGTTAGTAGCATAGAACAATAGTTATTTGTGTAACTAGTGGTGAAAGTGGCACTTTGCTGCACACGAGAGCAATGTTTACGCACGAGCCGCAGGCGAGTGCGGAATGATCTCGAGTGCAGCAAAGGCCTTTTTCACTCGTGTTACACATTATATTTTTCCTACAGTCACTATAAAACATAAATAATTAGTCTTTCAAACACTATACAACACGTTTTTAGGTTCAGCTAGCAACACAATTACACAAATGGTGCCCTGGAGAAAGTAGTACCCGTGGTCCGTATCACTCCGCTATTTTTCCTCGGCAAGAAATGTGCTCCGTCTTTTGAGAATATAGTTCCGTATGTTTTTGTAATTTGAAGTGGTTTCCGCGCCTAAAAAAAATGCTTTAAAGGTATTTTCTTGTTTATTAAGACCGTAGGAATGTTTTAAAAACGTTTAAAAGAAAAGTCCAGAAAGTTCAGAAATACCAAAACTATAAACACGAAATGACAGGTTAAATCGTAGTTATAATAGTCAATCAGCTGTTCATAGTATTATTATCTTTAAGTGTTGCCAACCTATTTCCAAGCGTACACGGATTACGTGCATAATAAAACCACGCTGTTTTGTGTTGTTTGGTTGGAATCCTGATGTGCGGCAAAGTATAAACCGTGCGGCAAAGTATAAACCGTACGGCAAAGTATAAATATGCAGCAATTAGCAGCTTTCTGTACTATAAACAGTACAGGGAAGCCAACTTTGTCGGGTGACTGTAGGAAAAATAATGAAATAAACACCATATGGTCCATTGTGTTACTTTATTCTGTACTAGGTAGGAGTGTGATGTTTACCGCCAATGAACATAACCTCGAACTTGAATTTCTAATTGTTACTGTTATGTAGGTTTGGTATAAACTTTTTGTTAGTTTCATTTTATATATTAAACAACGTTGAATAGCAAAATCTACTCTAGTTTTAAACGATTCAAAGGCTGCACTTTACTTGACGTCCTACACTGCTCATTCGATTGTTTTTTTTTTCGATTTGATATTTTCATTCGATTGTTTCATTGATATATCGTTTGGTTAGTTAGGTTAGGTTAACCTTACCTAACTAACCAAACGATATATCGAATGAAGCAATCGATTAATCGATATATCGATCGATATTTTCATTCAAATGAGTGTAGGACGTCAAGTAAAGTGCAGCCCGATTCAAAACTTAGTTTATTATGGCCTTTTTTACTCTAAACAAAATGGCACATCCCCCCAATGCTGTAAAAAACTTTATTGCAACCTTTCGTATTTTTCCCATATAATTGGCCTTATTTATCATAAGTAGTTATTCTCACCGCTTGCCCATGGTAAGTGTTGATGACAATCTAATGGGAGAAAGTATGTGTCAGATTGCTGATACCGTTAATTATTTTTGTTACCTACAAATATTATTTCATAATTTCTATCCTTAATGCTGATGTTTCTCTCAGAACGTGGTGTTGATGGACTCAGAACGCTGCACTTGCTCCCTCATCAACCCCAACGACAGCTCGGCTCCTCCGAAGACCTTCACCTTCGATGGAGTCTACTACATTAACTCCACAACGGAGCAGATTTATAATGAGATAGCTTACCCACTAGTTGAGGTTGGCATTTTAGTACAGACCGTATTTGTATTTCTCCATTTTCTAATTCAATAGGTTACAGAAAGAACATTTTTCAATAGTCAGCATGTAAAATTGATTTTTTTTTTAAATTACTCATAACTTTAAATTCATTCTGAATCTGAATGAATCTTCCTTGATAGTAAAGTTAGGAAATAGTATATGTCAAGAGTTCCAGGAGCGAGGTGAAGCCGAGGTCAGTAAATGAGCGAGGTTGAAAAGCAGGTTTTCCTGTGTGATCTGGTGAACTAGGTACCTATATATTTTGGCCAAATTTGTACCATTATGTCAAACTATGTTAGAAAACAGAAATGCTACTCCAGTACCTATAAAATTTGTATACTGAATGTCAGCTCTTCTTGGTTCATAGAATCTACAAGCGTTTGGAGTTTGGACAAAACAACAACTAAATTGAACACACCCTCTGATCCCTTATCCATGTAGATTCTGAACTATTCATGCATGGCCTCCTCTAATTGGCCGACCAGTGCAGACTTGTATTAGAAAAGGCTGGGATATATCTCAAGTTGATAGTTTTATTAACACTTAACAACACCCAAACTCATTCGAATGTGTTTAACTCACTTTTGTAAATAACTAATTAATTGCATATCCACTGCTGTATGCAGTATTTGATTTGATACTCTTGTGAAAAAGTTAACTGTTCCAGGGTGTCCTGGAAGGATACAACAGCACCGTGTTCGCCTATGGACAAACAGGGTGTGGAAAAAGCTTCTCCATGCAGGGGGTGGAGGACCCACCCTCCCAGAGGGGCATCATCCCCCGAGCCTTCGAACACCTCTTTGAGTCGATGTCTCTCACGGAAAACGTCAAGTACCTGGTGCTGGCGTCGTATCTGGAAATTTACAACGAAGAGATCAGAGACCTTCTAGGAAATGACACTAGGAAGAGACTGGAGTTAAAAGAGAACTTTGATCGAGGCGTTTATGTCAATGGTAAATATAAATATAGTTTTAATTTGTTGCTTGGATTTTGCTGTTGTACGTGTACCTCTAAATCAGAGTTGCCACCCGTTCCGATTCTGCCAGGACAGTCCCGATTTGAGTTCCTTATGCCCGTGTTTAAGCCTATGTTAGGCTAATCCGGTAGGGAGGGAGGGCAATGTCCCGATTTTTCCCTGACCTAAGGTGGCAACTCTGCTCTAAATGGTAAATTATATGGGTTACTGGTGAAATTTAAAAAATGTTTGATTTTATAGATAAATTTTCAATAGCACTTTTAAAGTAGTTTTATGTCCCCAATTTGAAAGGGGAAAAGCAAGTGCAAGTCTCTCATCGCTTTTCAGAGGGAGTACTAAAAGGTTCTTTTTGCTAAGCTACATCGCTGTTCAGCTCGATATTTTATTTTTCAGGATATATTTAATTCTTTTCATTGTTATTTAGATACCTATCAGAGGTGAACATCCATTGACTTTAGTTGTTAATTTTGGGTTGTAACATAAACATTACTGTGGTGTTGTTTGAATGACTTTAAGTGCAGGATATTTTACACACAGAGAAATTTGCACACTAGAAAACACATGTTTATTTCATTATTTCCCAAATAGGTGGGTGATAGACTTAAACATTTGGGCTCCGAATTGCCGTCCCAACAATATAAGGGATATTGCCAGGTTTTCCTAGACACGGAAGAGGAGGGCGGAGAGCAGTGAAGCGATTAACATGGTGTTCCGCTCCGCTTCTAGGAAAACAGTAACATTAAATTACCTAAGACAGGAAGAGTCCGCTCTCTGCGTTCCTCTCTCCGTGCTCCGCTTCCGCGCCTAGAAAATCCTGGCTTTAGCTAAATGCAATTGGCGGTTAGAGATGAACAGACTAGATCCCATTTAAATCAAGGTCCCCTTTAAAGGACAGAAGGACTGTAACAGCAATATATCTCTATTGAGTATTTTAAAACAATAGATAACAGTTTAGAACGCAACAAAAATATAAATTTTGAAATTATGTGATTAAAATAAGGTAAGTACCTTAAATAACTCCTAAATTTATTCAAATACAATGTTTATTTCTGTTTCATCTCAGAGCTATCCCATCATACTGTGGCGAGTGTGAGCGACTGTCAGGAGCTGATGGATCGCGGTTGGAGGAATCGTTCCACAGGAGCGACTCTCATGAACGCCGACAGTTCCCGGAGCCACTCTATATTCAGCATATCTGTAGAGATGATGCCGTTGAGCGAGTGTTTGGAAGTTAGTCCTATCCGGCGCGGAAAACTGAGTCTGGTTGACTTGGCGGGGAGCGAGCGGCAGGCCAAGACAGGTATTTTAATAACTTTGGGCCTCTGGCGCAGAAGTTAGAGTTTCATGAGGTAAAATTATTATATCAGTTTTCAAGCTGTTGGCTAAAAAGTGTTGATCCTACTTTACAGTGGTAATTCAGTAGCTAAGTTGAAACTCTCACTGTTTTAGAAAGATCCTATATGGTGTATTCTAATGTTCTGGTGTTACCTTAGAAAGAAATCCACTCAAGACCTAAGAGGCATTTTAAACATTTTTTCTACATCTACCAAAACAGTTTTGAAACTATTTTGTTATAGAATGTTATTTCAAGAAATTATTTGATATTAAAAAATGCCAAATTGCAGTGATAATACCTAAATTATAAAGTATTTTAAAGGTTCTGGCAAACAAAATCAGTATTTTTGTCTGGAAAAATGCATAAAAAAATTCTAAATACAAGTCATTGTTTTCCCTAAATTACACAAAAAATGTCAAGACAAATGATTGGACTGTGATCCATACAATCAATCTATGAATTGCACGTAATCTTTTAGTTTCCAAGTTTATCAGTTGATATTGATTGCAGGTGCCACCGGTGACAGACTGAAGGAAGCAACCAAGATCAACCTGTCCCTGTCAGCACTAGGCAATGTCATCTCTGCCCTAGTGGACGGCAAGGCTAAACACATACCCTACAGAGACTCAAAGCTGACACGCATGCTTCAGGTGAATTGTGAATAGTGAATAGACACAAATGAATATGCTGCCCTTGATGATAATCAAAAGTACACTTCCATACAAGCCTAGTACACGTAGCCCACCTATATTTTGAGTCTAAATCATATCATGAGGTTATTTTTTAAATTTGAGCTTAAGTTTATATGTATAGCTTAATACAAGGGATCTTCAGATAGTAAGGAACGTTTACGGCTGACCAATAGGCCAATAGTTGACACTGGTGGCGTACTTTACCTATTCAATGACTGTCCAGTTGTCACAGCGGAAGTGTCGTTATGCTACCCGTTATCACAATATTCTGTACATTATTTCTAAAAAGTGTGCTACAACTGTAAATCCCGCAAGTCGTGGGATTAGGACTGTAGGACACAGAAACTTATCGTCAATGGTGTGAAGTGTACAGAAAAAGTAATAAATTAAAGTTCTGTCCCGAAATGGTAGAACTTAAGTTGAAGTCACAAATTTTGTTTTTGTATGACAATGCCCAATCTCACACGTCAAATCGTCTCCTTCACAGTCTTCTTTAATCGTTCAAATGGGAAATTTTCCCTCAACCCACCCTTCAATCTATACCTTGCTCTGAGTGACTTTCACTAATTTGTTTACCAAAAAGAAGTCTTTGTTAGCAACACAGTTATTTGAATAACGACAATGACCTCCAATCCAGTGTCATTTGGCTGAGTACACAGGGGCTGAATTCTTCAACTCAGGAATCTTAAATTTCATCCACCGATAATCACCCCAATTCGTTTGGCAGCTATATAGAAAATTAGTTTACTTCCCGAACATTCTTTTTGACATAAATCCCTCCCCACCAACTGATTCAGCCCACCCTACAGTCTAGGTCAAGCAATACCACTGATGGTAAGCAATAAGGTCAACAACCAGTTAATGTATTCTGAAGTGAACTAAAGTCATTAGTTCAAGTAACAATCAATAAATGACAAGTCCTCACTTCCTTAGTTTCAGACATCGGTTAATAATTAATTTTTACCAACTGGAGCTTAGTTTTAATGCAAATAAAAACCTTAAGATTGATTTCAGAATTGAACTAAGAACCTCATGACCATACCAGCAGGTCTATGAACTAGCTTTACACCAAAATTTACTTCTCTCTTTTAACATGCAGTGACTTTAATCCTCTGTTTTGTATATTTAAAAGTTTTTTTTTTATACAGCATATAAACTGCAAATTGTGAACTACAGTCAATGTACAAACTATAAACTTTAAAAGTGATGAATACTCTGCCATAAAGTTAACATACAATCAAACATATAAAGTTCTAGTTTGTTTGAATTTGAAGACAGCATAGTTAAATTTTGTCACAAAATAGCCTCTGCTCATATAAACTGTTTAATTGTGCTCATTTGTTCGCTACTCCAAGTTTGTTAACACCACCACATTTGGATGCTATTGTAGAAATACGTCCCGTCTATATAGATTATCTGTAGCCAATTAAAAATACCCAGCTAAACATGAGCCACTCACATAATGCACTATTGCCAAAATTCTATAATTTCTCAATAAGTTTTCGATACCTATGATAGTTTATATGGCTTGAGAAGATGCTGCAGTATCTACAGTAAAGTTGTTCAGTTTTGTTTGGCGAAACAGTCGACGAATTCAACCCAAAGCTGGAAATTGGGTGGGGATCGAGCTGGTCTAGTGATTAGAGCGCAGGACTTCGGTCCCTGAGGTCTCGGGTTCAAATACCGCCAAATCACCAATGGATTTTATCTTAGTGATAATGTCGCAACCCCTTAGTATTACCTGAAGTAATGTGAAAAACAATCCTGAACTCGTGCCTAACGTCGGGGACAAAAATCTAGGATTAGGTAATTAACATCCACACTTCTTGCACTCTGTTGGCAACTCAATTCAAGTCCATTTTTCATTCCTAAACTGGCTACTAACAACTTTGTACTAACATGAGACATGAGCGCCCCCCCCTCCCCATCATAATTAAAGGTAGGATGTACATCTCAGTATCCAAAGTCAGTGAAATTTTTCAGGACTCTTTGGGAGGAAATACCAAGACATTGATGGTGGCTTGTTTGTCTCCTGCGGATAACAACTATGACGAGACCTTATCTACTCTGAGGTACGCCAACCGAGCCAAGAACATCACCAACAAACCCCACATCAACGAGGACCCCAAGGACACCATGCTGCGAGAGTACCAGGAGGAGATCTACAAACTGAGGAATCTGCTGGAGAAGAACGCCTTTGTTGGATCTTCTGGTCAGTTCTTATAGAATAGGCCTAATTCAGCCCTAAGTGGTATGAGGCTTAGTAGAGGCGTTTTGTCTGTATTAGATATTGTTTGTAATATGCCTGTAACAAACTACTAGGTAAACACTATTCTTAAAATATTAAAAATAATATTAATAATAAAAATCCTTTATTTGAAAAACGTTCCTTAGTAGACGTACTATAGAATACTGATTTACAGGATAGGACCTAACTCTTGTCATTTGCCATTTAACTAATACTAGTGAACCTGTGCGGCTCAATGCCCCGCAAAAAAGATATTAATTTAGAAAACAAATTCATCGTGTTATATATTGACTCGAAGTCAAAAATTAAATTCTGTAATAATAAAACCTTAGAAGGGAAGCAGTCCAGCCATTTTCTATGCGTATTATATTTATTAAATAATTAATAAGTGCTCAAGGTTAAGTATGTTATAGTGTAGTTCTTTTTTTAAAGATTTTTAAAAACAAATTTAACAAAACATTTTATCATATCAAACCAATTGGCCAATGTAGCATATTTTGAGGGTCATAAAATGCTGCTTGAAGAAAACACTTTTAAAAATAAACACTAAAAAACAATATTTTTATCACAAAAGCACTTCCATGAATACTACGATTTTAGTCTTAAAGTTACCTTCGGGAATATTACCCTGGTCAGAATTTTCCGTAATGAATATGCGTATCCTATTAAAAGATGTAGCCTTACTTAAAACAACAAATGTATATATATTTGCTCATGACTGAAATTGGTCTGGTTAAGAACAGTGCTGCTTTTTAATTAAAGTGCTTGTGCTGCAAATGAAAAAAAAAACATAAATTAGCATTCTTTCCATTTTAAAAGGTAAGTTTGTTTCAGACGGCCAAATTATTATCCTCGAAATCAAAATATGTCCCTACTCACTTGTTCCAGTTAGGACTTTACATTCTACTTTACATTGTTGTTAAACCCGTTCTGACCACATGAAGCCTTGATTCATTAATGAGTCCCTTTTTGATGTATTAATATCAATAAAACCACTGCCCCTTTTTATTAGTCTAATCTGTGTCTTGGCGATCCACTGACCTCTAGGCCTATATTTAAACACCCAGTTTGATTTTCTAGATGGGTGTCTCCGCCTTCGTCTGTTTTCGAGGACCCACTCTTCTTCCCCTTGCCATACTGACAATTAATTATCTAACTTGTCAAGTTCATGTAGTAATTCAATAATACTGTTAGTTTATAAAGAAAATAAGATAAAAGTTACTTGGCTTGGTGCTAAAGAATCAAGTTACAGTATTGGTAAAAAAATACTATGTTTGTGTAACAACATAATCCACATGAAGTAGATGATTTGTTTGATTTGTCGATCAGCTGTTTAGTTTCAAATGAATTAATAATTTCAAAGATTTGTGATTTAAAATGCACGAATTATTATAGTACCGTAAAGTTTTCTTAATCATGGTAACTTATTCTCAACTAAATTTTACTATTCCTAGCATTAAAATAAAGTAGTAAGATCCATTATGAGTAAACTTTAAGGTACACAATCCTTGATTGAAATGTAGTATACATTAACAGTCATAATACACAGCAATTATTATGTTGTAGACTTTGACTATTTTCAAGTAACAAACATATGTTTCTCTAAATAAAAATTATCTCCCCATGTTATCCTTATGGAGAAATACGAAACTTTAAAGGGCCCCAGGGCCTCATTCTCTAATTATTTCCCTAAAAAGAAAGTTTCCTGCACAACTTCACGTTACGCTCTTTCCAATGAGACCAAAAACATGTCAATCGGTTCAGTAGTTTCGGAGGAGTAATTGTCACAAAAATCCTGCTTGCGTATTAAATAAGTATAGAATAGATTAAATGGTCATAAAAACATTTTGCTCAGAATTAGACAGGTAATCTTTATTAGATTATTTGCTCCACCTAATTCTGTTTTGTTGGACATTAAGAACTTTCCTAGATTTAAAAGAACCTTTTGATGAAATTCAGCTATCTTAAAAGAAGTGTTGATTTCCTTCAGCGGCAAAGCTGTTGATAAATTATTTTCTCAAAATTGCGTCACAAATTTCATCACAGTATTAGGTCAAGTGTAGCAAGCCTGTATATTTCTTAAATTAAAAATGATCTTTGCAATTGAAAAAGTGACAATTTGATCTTTTAGCCATAGAAGATGAGGTTGTGAAAGCAGAAAAGGAAAAAGTCAAGACAGAGTATGAGAAAGAGATGGCCTCTCTGAGAGAACAATATGAGGCAATGCAGCTGTCCAAGACTCAAGTGCAGAACGATCTTCAAGCTCTCAAAGAGCAATACGAGAGAGACTTGGCCCGGATAAACTGTCAGGTATGACCTTGTGATTATTCTGAAGTATGATTGGTTGTATTTGAGTTTGCTAGTGTATTTATCTTATTTGGTTGTGAATTTTACAGGAAGCAATTTACTTTTTGATTACAATACCATACTCCGTTTACAAAATTTAGATGGTTTTAGAGGGAAAAATCTATCCCCTCCTCTTGATCCCACCTTTAAACAATAGCTCAACAGCTCACAAGGTTTTCCAAAACTTCAATCAGCTGCAACAGATCCATTAGGCATAAAAGTAGTGGGGGAACTTCCCCTCAATCCGCTTAAATTTTGTGAACGGACTATAGAAGAGCAGCAACAGTTATATATCGTTTCATTTAGGTAACCTTTGAGCGCCAACAGCTATTATATATAGAACTCAAAACATATAAACTCCCACTTCTAAATGTGCAAATAATTAAAAATTAAAAATAACCTACTAAATCTGTGCACGACATGTATTGCAGTCTGAGAGTCAATAATTAAAGTCCGACCAACCAAAAAAGGCACTTTATATGCTCGGAGTGGGTTTTCAAGGTTAACTGGATTATGGTGGAAAATATCATTGTGTTACAAACATTGACATTACTTCCGAATCGCCAGCTACATGAGACTTGCCCTCATCACAACTAATAGACGATCTAACATTAACTTCAAGAATAGTAGAGCGTTATCATCTGATCTGCAAAGTGCCTTCTTTGGCTGGTCTGATGCTTGGACTTTTGGTTGGCCAGCGTTGCTAGTGTAATAGTCTGTTAATAGGGTTGATCTATGGCCAAGCAGTATACGGGGTGAATAAAAAGTTAAACCCCCCCCCCTCTAATATTTTCCCAAATAAATATTCAGAGATATCCTTTCGAGTATTCTTAGCAGGAAGTTTCATTTTATGATTTTGAAATTTTTGAGTATCCCCCCAAAAGGGGGGATTTGGAAGGGCATCTCAAAAATGTTAAATGTAAACCTCCATCAAGTGACACCTCATTTTGAAGTGTTGACAAAAACTTAAAGAATGGTGAAAACCAGAGTTCGCTATCTCTTCTCTATCCAAAATGGTAGCCAATATTACCATTACTAACCAATTTTACCATTGATTTTCCACAACATTTGACGGGCTACCATTTTGGATAGAGAAGAGATAGCGACCTCTAGTTTTCACCATTCTTTAAGTTTTTGTAAACACTTCAAAATGAGGTGTCACTTGAAGGGGGTTTTCATTTAAAATTTTTGAGTTGCCCCCCAAATCCCCTTTTTGGGGGGACACTCAAAAATTTCAAAATCATAAAATGAAACTTCCTGCTAAGATTACTCGATCACCAAAAGGATATCTCTGAATATTTACTTGGGAAAATATTAGAGGGGGGGGGGGTCTTGACTTTTTATTCACCCTGTAGGTACATGCCTTGTCTCTCCTGCCGGGAGGCAGTACTACATATTGAGGGTTTGACTCCTTGTTTCCGTCAGGTGTGAAGCAAATGAAGAGTTCAACTTAATGGCCCGCCGCACATTGGAGCGAGGTGAGGTGCAGGCTAGGTGCAGGCGGGAGCGAAGACTTTTTCGTGTCACCGCACATTGAAGCTAGGCGGGACAGAGGTTTCCTAGCTTTAGTAATTCTGTCACGAGTAGGAGGAAAATTTTTTGGACCTTAGTTGATTCTGATTGTGAGTTTAAAATTTTGTTTTACTCTATTTGCCATCCAAAAAATTGTAAAAGCTGTTTTGAAAATGTGATTACCGTACACAAAAAAAATATTAAGCCATGGAGAGTATTTTTGAACAACTGAACTACCAGACCGGTATTTTAGAGAATGTTTTACGTGTGAACAAACAACAGGTGACGATATCCTAAGTTGATTGAAAGTGACATTAATGGAAAGGATTGCAATGCTGCATTAAACGCTACATTACTATATCTTTTACTCACAAAACACTAGAAAACCAACGCAGGCGCGAGCGAGGTGCAGGAAAACTGTATTCCAACTACAACGCTGCGGAGGCCTGGCAGAGGCTGCATGCAGCCTCTGCTCAATGTGTGGTGCTCCATTTAAACATTTGTATTACAGAACCAGCCGTGCCTCGCCTACACCTTGCCTGCACCTAGTCTGCTCCTCGCCTCGCTCCAATGTGCGGCGGGCCTATAAGGCAGAACTTGGTAAAGGAGGTTTACTTAAAATAAACGGTGTAATCTTATGGAAGTTGATATCAGTGTATTCTTTATGAAAACTATTTTCAGGTATTCCACTATTTTATCCTTATTATAGTTTTAGTGTCCCCTGGCAAAGTGGACATTCTTTATCCAATTAAAACCTTTAGATTAAACTATTGATTTGATGACATATATAACAGATTAAAAAGTTATTATATTTTTTCAGTCTCAGAATAAACAGCATATGCTACCAAAAACACCAACCCAGAAGATAGTGGAGGAGGTCCTGAATAGGTAAGTTTTTGTACTCTACAATGATTTGCCTAGTTAAGTATTCTCGCGGGTTTATGTATAGGCCTAAAATATAAAATAAACCTCCGAAGAAAATTGGCTTTGCTGGACATACATTTTACAGTGTGCTACCTATGTTATCCTATACTCTAATACGAGCAAAGTTTGCTTGTATGTATGCTTGCACCAGGATCTCGAAAACGGCTCCGACGATTTTCTTCAAATGTTGTAGGCCTATATAGTTTATTTCTGGCCTAAAAACGAGTTTACTGCAAATAGAACTGCCAACAAAAATCTAATTACGTAGAAAAATGAAACTGAAAAGCACATTTTTTTAACATTAGTCTTATGGGTTGCTAGGTAACCATGTTGGCTGAATTAAATAACAAGGAAAAAGTAAACAAAAGACTTGTAATTTGTCTATCCACAGTATACTAGCAAAACAAAATACAGTACAAAAGGAAAAACATCAGTTGTTATTATTGAGCAAAGATTATACTGAAGATTACTCGATTCTATAGTCAAGGGTAGCAGTGTGGAGTGTGGGATTTGTTTATGACGATTAGATTACGGTATCTGCAATCCTTAAATGCTATGGAAAGGGAGGAAATAGGTCCACGACATAGGAAGTGGTGAAGGAAGTAGTAAAGGCGAGCAGTCTGAAGTGTGGGAACTGTTTTTAAGGTAATCTGCAATCCTAAAATGTAATGGGAAGGGAGGAAAACAGGTCCATGACGTAGGAAATGAGGAAGGAAGTTGTAAGGCTAGCAGTGCAGAGTGTGGGAACCGTCTGCGGCATTTATGTATCTGCAATTCTAAAATAGTATAAGGAAGGAGGGCAAACAGGTCTACGACATAGGGAGTGGTGAAGGAAGTAGTAAGGGTGAGCAGTCCGGAGTGTGGGAATTGTTAATAACGATTAGATCAAGTTATCTACAATCCTAAAATGCTATGGGAAGGGAGGGAATTAAGTCCGCGATGTAGGAAGTGGTGAAGGAAGTAGTAAAGGCGAGCAGTCTGGAGTGTGGAAACTGTTTATGACGATTAGATTAAGGAATCTACAATCCTAAAATGCTATGGGAATGGAGGGAAACAGGTCCATGACGTAGGAAGTGATGAAGGAAGTAGTAAAGGCGAGCAGTCTGGAGTGTGGAAACTGTTTATGACGATTAGATTAAGGAATCTACAATCCTAAAATGCTATGGGAAGGGAGGGAAACAGGTCCATGACGTAGGAAGTGATGAAGGAAGTAGTAAAGGCGAGCAGTCTGGAGTGTGAAAACTGTTTATGACGATTAGATTAAGGAATCTACAATCCTAAAATGCTATGGGAATGGAGGGAAACAGGTCCATGACGTAGGAAGTGATGAAGGAAGTAGTAAAGGCGAACAGTCTGGAGTGTGAAAACTGTTTATGACGATTAGATTAAGGAATCTACAATCCTAAAATGCTATGGGAAGGGAGGGAAACAGGTTCACGACGTAGGAAGTGGTGAAGGAAGTAGTAATGGTGAGCAGTCCGGAGTGTGGGAACTGTTAATAAAGATTAGATCAAGTTATCTACAATCCTAAAATGCTATGGGAAGGGAGGGAATCAGGTCCACGACGTAGGAAGTGGTGAAGGAAGTAGTAAAGGCGAGCAGTCTGGAGTGTGGAAACTGTTTATGACGATTAGATTAAGGATCTACAATCCTAGTTCTATGGGAAGGGATGGAAAGAGGTCTGCGACATAGGAAGTGGTGAAGGAAGTAGTAAAGGTGAGCAGTCCGGAGTGTGGGAAATGTTTATGACGATTAGATTAAGGTATCTACAATCCTAAAATGCTATGGGAATGGAGGGAAACAGGTCTGCGACGTAGGAAGAGGTGAAGGAAGTAGTAAAGGCAAGCAGCCCGGAGTGTTGGAACTGTTAATGACGATTAGATTAGTGTATCTGCAATCCTAAAATGCCATTGGAAGGGAGAGAAACAGGTCTGCGACGTAGGAAGTGGTGAAGGAAGTAGTAAAGGTGAGCAGTCTGGATTCTGGGAACTGTTTATGGGAATTACATTAAGGTATCTACAATCCTAAAATGCTACGAGAAGGGAGGAAAACAGGTCCATGACGTAGGAAATGGTGTAGGAAGTAGTAAATGCTAGCAGTGCAGAGTGTGGGAACTGTCTGTGGCATTTATGTATCTGCAATTCTAAAATGGTATAGGGAAGGAGGGAAAACAGGTCCACAACGTAGGGAGTGGTGAAGTAAGTAGTGAAGGTGAGCAGTGTGGAGATTGGGAGTGGATTAATGTATCTGCAATACTTTTCAGAGTAAACTAATAATTCCCCCGAGCAAAGCTCGGTCCCCAGGTACTTTGGTTTAAGCACCAAAGGGTAAGTAGTGTAAAAGTATATAATTATGTTTGGTGCATTACATGCCTGAAACTGTTTGGCTGATCCATGAGGATGGTTATTTAAAAAGTATGTTTAGTGCCAAAGTTTAAACATAGAAAGTAACAAAAGATAATTACACCATTATCTTGTCTTTACAGTAATATTTATTTGGATTATTTAAAGCTGAAACAAGTTTAATTAACTGTAAAAATATTGTATCAAACAATATTCCTTTACTATCTCGGGGTGTCCAGCATTTTGTCATCTAGTATTACAAATAAATGTGTCTGGACTATTATACCAAGTTCTATTATTGATGAATTTCGCTATTTTCAGTGAGACTGCAACATTAAATGCTGCACAACAAGAAATATTAAAAAGGTAAGTGACTATTTTAGTTATAATTTATAATTTGTTAACTTAACTGCCGTAATGCTACCGTACCTATTAATATTAATTAATAAAAAGGTTAAATACCTGTAGTACTTGTCAGTGATCCTGGAATTTAGGTCAGCGACCCAGGTTTCGAACCTTAAGGTTATTTTCAAGCTGATACCAAGTTGAACACGCATTCCAAACACACAACCTGGTATCAGCTTGAAAATAACCTTTAGGTTCGAAACCTGGGTCGCTGACCTAAATTCCAGGATCACTGACAAGTACTACAGGTATTTAACCTTTTTATTAGTAAATTACATGATCCAGAGGCTAAACATGTTATAATATTAATCATTTTCACACTATATACACAAAACATTAGAATATTTCACTGTCACTGACAGCATTTTAAACTAAGGGAGAGTCCAAAAATCATAAGGACATAAAGAAAACTCTCTCCTCCTTAGTTGAAAATGGTGTCAGTGACAGTTAAATATGATAATGTTTTGTGTATATAGTGTAAAGTTATTGTTTCCTGTGCCAGTAGTCTTTCCCTTTCAGGTAAGCCTGCTATCCTCTAAAAAATCCTAAAAACCTAGGCCCTTAAGATATTACACCCTTAAATACGGTAATTAGTTAGTTTTCCTTATGTAAAGCGTTTATACTACTATTTGAAATGTTTTCTTTTTAACATTAACTGACCAAATAAGTAGTATAATATCTCCTTATCCAATCAAATCGATCAGAAATGTTCAGACTCTCATACAAAAATCATCCTTAAAAAATGAATGATACCTATATAAATTTGCCAGACTACAGAAACTGCAGGCCAGCATGGTTGGAGGAGAGAGAGCCAATGACAAGGAGTTAAAGGAGAAGCGTCTGCGCAAGAAGAGGCTCGCTGAGCGTAGACTGCAGGCGCTGGCGACAGTGTTGGCCCGAGTAGAGGACGAGGACAAGAGCGGACTGATGTTGGGAGTCTACGACGACATTCAGGAGGAGATGAAAACAGCCATCCGCAAACACAAGATGAAGGTACGAGGCTTTACTAAACCCTTTTATAGCTGGGCAACTGTGCGGTTAAGATTCTCGTTCAACCAAAAGGATGCTGTTTTGATGCCATGGAAAGACATAGCTTTCTCATGGTTTGAAACAGGATCCAGCTGTCCTTCGGGCAGATAAATATTAATGTCTCTACCAGAAATTGTTGGAAACAACATATTTTGGGCAATTGAGATTTTTGAAGAATAACGATACAAATGACATTCTCTACTGCGTGGGATAACTTATTTGGATTTTAAAAATACCATAGGTTGGTACAAGTGATTGAATTAACGGGAAACTGACTGTGTCGGCATAGGTGCGGCCAGAACATGTTTGTGGTTTCTGAAAATAACATAGGTCACTTGCAACGAGGCGACGTTGTTTGGCAGAGCTATTAAAATAATAATTGATAAAGAAGCATATCTTAGTAACAAAGCTTTAATATCCATTCGGCACGCATCTTTCTTTCCCTTGTCTTCACTTGTCTTTTACCCTGATGTGTTCGTGGTATAGTAATTCAATCGCTGAACAAAAATTGCATGTACAATTTAGCAGCAACATGTGGAAATGCTGTCAACATCTTTTAAGTTCAATAGGGAAATTACAACACAGGAGGGAGTTTGAAAGTGAGACTACTTGGAAATTTTTGGAGACTCTAACGAGCTGTGTGTGTTAACTGCAACCATTGAATATAGATTGATCTAGGTATTCTCAATTCCCATGTAAAATCTCTAAATTTGTAGTGAGTTTTAGAATAGGTCCAATGAGTATGCTACTGATTTATGTCAAATAAACAGAATAAACAGAATACCCAAAGTTTCTTGTATCAGGATTATAAGTGCACATGTTATACATTAAATTAATGAATTTAAACCATAATACCACCCTTAAACTCCTTAAAATTGTTATTTAAAAGTAACTGAAGACATTTAAAAATGTTGATATCAGGACCAATATCAAATCATTTTAATAATTTTTCTGTAGTCTTTCAAAATGTGTCATCTATCACCCAAGTGTCAAGATTATAATTAACTAAACTCATAACCAAGAAATAAGCTATATTTGAAAAGATTTTAATTTGTCAACAGCTGCGAGCTCTGGAGAGGGAAATAACCGACTTACAAAGTGAGTTTGAGAATGAGCGAACGGACTACTTGGAGACAATTCGTAAACAACAGAGGGAATGTCGCTTTTACCAGCAAGTCCTTGACAAAGTCCTTCCTACGCTTAAGAAGGACTGTAACTACAGGTAAGTAAATATTTTTTCATTGAAGGATGTTTTGTATGTTTAGAGTATCAGCGCTTGTTTGTGTGCCAACTACGCCAGGCCTTCCCAAAATCAATAACAAAATACAAAATATTGCTTTATGACTTTAGTTCATGTGGCTAATATCACCAACTGATATATAAATATTTTGAGATGTTAAAGAGTCACCTCTATCTGAAATTAGGTGATGTCAAGAGATTGGACGGCTCCTTCACTAAAAGCCAGACCATGGATATAATAATATAAATAATAAATTGTGTGTTTATTATTTTTTGTAGTAACCTGGAAAACATAAGGGCAGAAGCAGTTTGGAGTGAAGACGCTAAAACGTGGAACCTGCCTGATCTATCTACCATTCACACAAGACTACCCCCTGCTGCAGGTATCAGCTGGTCTATAATAGTATTAAGAAACTAATTTAATACACATAATTCTTTATATAACAACACAGAGAAGTAAGGTACAGAGGAAACACGCTTATGGGACAACCGTGTGCTTTCAGCTCTGATATGTTGTGCTGGAAATATACTTGTGTCGAACAAGGAAGAGCTGGAACGGCGAGCGAGCACTGTGTGGAAATTACTATCACACAAGACACAGGGTCTTCTACCACCATGAGCGCTGTAGTACATGAGGGCAAGGGCGAGGTGTTGGACTTTTCCTTAGACACCAATACTAGTGCTAGACACCTCACTAGTGTACCATGGAGTGTATTCTCTGTTCCTTACTTCTCTGTGATACACAGTCATTTTTGAAATTATTTTCCATTTGTTTCCTGCATCATTTACCAAAGTTTCATAATTGTTCTTACAAATTACAACTTAGCTTTAGACAAAACATCAATATGATATTAGGTTTATTTTCAGATTTAATATTTCTCCCAAAAGAATCTGTTAAAACTAGGCTAGGTCAATAAATGTTTTTCTGTGTTAAAATTGGAGGGGTTTTAATTAAATTTAAGTTTGAGTTCAACCTCTAGTTTAAAAAGATTATTTGTTATTGTTAATGAATAAAATACCTTAATAATCTAACAAATTATTACTATTAAATTTGCTCTGTCTTTATTAGGATCTTTTATTATGCCCATCTTGAAACAATCTCATAACAATAACTATGAGTACAGTAATAAGTTAAAAATATAAATTTAGATAAGTATTTTCTACACTTACAACATATAAGCACCGCAATACGAATATTACTGTCATATGCAGAATGCAAAGAAAAGCAGATTTTAACATATTCATAAAATCTCAATTTAGGACCCCAGTGGGGTACACGACTGCCTTCTCAGACTGCTCCTGGACGCTTGGAGAACGATCCCATAGGAACTGCAGTCCCGGATCCGGCGGCCAAAAGTAGCTCAGCTGAGGTCAATGTCAAACCCATCATTGATGCTTGGAGAAAGGTCCGGCAGCATGAGCAAAGCATCAAGCGAAGCATGTTTGTCGCCGCTTTCACGTGGGCTGAGTTTGCTATTTGTTTCTCAGAATCATCCTTCATTTCATCAAACTTTCCAACTGTTGCTCTTTCCATCTGGTTACAATGTTATCTTGACTTAGAAATCCCATCTATTGACACTTCTAGATAAAATAATTTAGAGTGGCGAGCGAGATTCGCATGCACACAAGTATCCTTCTTCCACTACTCACAATTTTCAGGAGCTAGGTACTTTTTAAACTGTACACCCTAAGAGGAGAGGAAAAAGTTTGGGGCAGGGTGGTATTTGCCTAACAGCGGACACAGCATTCCAAGAGACATATTCATCTCCCTCCTCCCTTCTTTGAGGGTAATTTTTCTCTTCCTTGTGCCCCCAACAAACCTAAAACCTCCCCCATTTACTAAAGCAACCCTGGGACCTTATTCTGTAAATTCTTAAGCATATTACACACATTTTCTACATCAAGAGACTTGTTTCCATACAAATCTGTCAACTGACAATAGATTTCAAATGGAGTTTACCTCCTTCCCACAGGGATTTCACAGAACACAAGTCATATTTAATACTACAGTAGGAATTTTGATTTTCCTTCTCATAGTTCTCGACTACCATAACAAAAATATTTTGTGCGTAGAAGTGGGAAATTTGTTAGAATAGTAGAGTATGAAGTAAAGAGCACGGTATTGGTCGTAAATTTGATTTAGTCTGCTACGAGAGCTCGATGGAGATCTTCATTTACTGACAATCATTGTACAAGGTGTCAGGACTCGAGCCTATAGTAGGATGACAATTTGATAAGCCCTTCTAATTTTACTTTTGAGGATTGTTTTTCCTTTATTCATACTCAAAGAATCATCACTGACCATCCTGTTTATCAGCTGTCCTGCTCAACAATCACAGTCTTTGTCCAACATCCATATGTGTGTAGAAGCAAAGTTGTATTGTTGTTGTAAGCATGTGTGGTTGTTGCATGCAGGCGTTGCATGGAGTGGGGGCAGTGATAAGAGCGATAACACCAGTGATAAGACAAGCCCCCAGTCATCCCCTGAGGCAGACCCTCCTAACCCTTCTCAGGTACACTTGTAGAATCTTACCCTTGATCCTAACTTTGTAGATGAAAAGACAATGCTACAATTTGAATTTGAGTAGTAGATTTCACTAACTTAAACACTTTAATCACAACTTTGCGTAAGACATTGTTTCTGTCCAGCAATTTTAACAATGAGCATAATGCACAGCACAGTTGAAAGTAGCATGATTTTTTCTATTTTTAGCTTGCAATGGTCATTCATTGGGGAATAACAACACTACATTAACTGTTGGAATAAAAACTTTTTCTATGCAAATACTGTTAGCATTACCTTACAAACTTTCCTCCGTTTTACAATTCATTATTTTCTCGCTTTGATTGGGGACATCCTTGGGCCAGGGCCTCTCCCTGCCGCAAAGTCTGTTTGTGTCTGTGAGTGTGTTGTAAAAGCCTACTTTTGTTTCAGAGCATAAGTAGTTTGAGTGGAAAGCAAGAAAATAAATTGCAATTGAATATTAGGATTTTCCTTAACTCTTTGCCTATTGGTTCACATTGATCTTTTTGTTCATTGTAATAACAAGTGAACTTGAACTGTGATTATACCCACAGCCATCCTTCTGGCTACTATCAATGTGTTTGATTGATGAACTGCTTTCTGTCATTTACCGTTACGAAATACGATGGCAACCAGACTTAAGCTATACACCACAAAATAACCCCTTAACTGAAACTCAATTGAATATTTTCAGTAATATTTTACAGCCAAAGTTGCAACTGATAATAGAGGATGTTGTATTACCACATTTTATTTTATAGTTACCACTGAGTTTTATTAAAAGTATGTTTAAAAATTCCTTTCCTTTAAAAGTAATTTTACATTTTTGGGATCAAGTGTAAGACTTTTATTTCACTCACAACACAATTACCGTTTTGCATCAAGCTTTTTCTTCTTGAAACATGCACAAATACCTTACTACTCTGCAAAGTACTATACTGTTGCCTGGATTTAACATGTTTCGATTGCTAACGCCTTCAGCGAAGATTTTAAATTGTAACGGTTACACAATAATGAAATTTAAATAAAGTAGTTTTAAATATTTTTACTGCTCCCCATTACACAATACACACTAACTCAAATAATCAAATAATTTTTTTCAGATATTTTATGAATCTTTAATAATATATTTTTGTAATAACTTTCAGCTAGGTGCAATAATTGAAGCCAAAAATATGATCAAAAGATGGACTTAGAATATGCAAGGTTGTATTTTTGTCTTGCTGCTAGAAAAACCAAATTATCACATCAATAATGGTTGGAACTTGAAACTAGCAAAATAATATTAAATGGGAAAACTAGTTTTTTTCTGTATGCATAAAAATCTGCAAAACATCTTGTTGTTTTGATTGCCTACTATATGTTGTTGTCCTTTTTTAATACAGAGACTACAAAAAAGCGATGAAGAGGATTTTGCTGGAAACTACTTCAAGCCAAAAAGAGCAACGGAACTCTTGATTAAATTCAAGGAGGAAGCAGGGAGGCCTGTCAATGGATGGAGAGGTAAAGTAGATAACATTTTAAAACTTATTTTTAAAGAGGTTAGCAGGCTCTTACCCTTCCGTTTGTCCATACACATGAGTCTTGGGCTTGTGCGTGGAACGTATCCAGCAAAGCAAGGGTGAGCCGGTACAGTACAAGAGTAAACATCACTAATAAAAAGTAGCTGCTACCAGGATTTGAGCCAACAACATGGCTGCCTTGTCCTCGAAGTCTGTGACTCTACCGAATGAGCTACCGACTCACCAACCAACAACTCTTCCTGAAATTGATTTAATATCGGTTACACTTGCATAACAGGGTAATGAAGAGGGCCAAAAAAAAATTTCAGGAAGGAAAAAGCTTATTACACTATCTATATTTTACTAATTTAGAGTATAGAAACTTCGGCATCGAAACACAGCTATCCGACGCTGTCTGACTTAGAAGACAACAAGATAATCTTTTGTGCGTACTACCCTGGAAGTCTAGAGTTTTCATTGATATATTTTATTATATTGTTTCAGAGACAAGTTTCATCAAGCCAGTTCCAGGAGCCACAGTTCCCCCTCTGCCTGGAGGGGTCCCTGCTCCCCCCACGGGTCCACTAAACCCCCTACCTGGTCAGATGTTCCTCAACAGTTCCTGGGGTGCAGGCCAGATCACAAGTCCTTGGGCAGGTATGAAAAGCTGTTCTGTTTTAAATTGGGGTATCCCAAACTCGGAAGAAATTCATGCCTCCTGTAAATGTACGCCACAGGTTTACATGTTTTGTGACAGTAAAGTTATCTTTATGTACACGGGTTTGTTTAGAAGGTAAGGGAATGTTTCCGTCCGACGCCGATAGACAAGCGCTAATATTACGATTTCTTACACAGGTTTCTCTCCTCAATGAGAGTCCAGTTGTCAGAGTATCATTGTGTTGCCTGCACTCTGCAGTATTGAAGTTTAAAAAGTGGGCTGCAATTTAAAATCAATAGTAAAAAAGTAGTAAAACAGTAGTTTTATGTGAATCCCCCTGCAATATGACATACTCACAAACACCCGAACTTTCACATTTTGATATTAGTAGGATTTTTACTATAACAAAGTAAATTAAAAAAAAAAAAATAGTCTCCTTGTATTATACACTGTGTTTCTAAACTATATAAAACAGTGATTCAAGTACAACTTACTCTTATAAAATTAGTTCTACTTGTTTTAAATTTATTTCTTAAGCTTTTTTGGTTTATTTTTACTTGTAATGTTTTTTATTTGGTCCAAGAGACTGGATTTGAATTTAAATGGAAATGTTTGTTTATAGTTCAAAATTCCAAGAATGGAGGTTTCCGAACATCCCCGGAGTTGGTAAGAAGACCTCTCAAGCTTGAGGCTTTACCAGTCCCCTCCAAAAAGCCGGCTCCAGCTTCCCTCCAAAGAACTAGAGGGTTAAACACTCTGGATTCCATCTGATAGTTACCAACTATATTCTCATAATGTGCCTAAAGTTTTATACTAGTATCAGTACGAAAGTGATAAAGGTGGTTAAGTATTGTCTATTTTTATAAGAATACAATTAAGTTGTATATTTTTGATGAAGATGGAGTAAGTATTTGAGTGAAATAACCATGCCAATTAGTAGCTATAACTTCTGGAATCACCTCTATATGTTTACGCCTAAAGCTGAATAAAAAAAGAACAACATCTCTATGCTTTTAATTGGTAAGAATCTGATTTTAGTGCTTGACCACCGATTGAAATTATTTTTGTAACTATGGTTTACAAAACCAAGTGGTTGTAGGGTGCAATACCAAGCACTGAAATAGTTATTTTACAGATCATATAACATAACCAGCTGCAGCGAGTGCTGTTAACAAGATTAAATAGTGAAAAGTATTAATCTTACGCATACATAAGATTGCTTGACATAGGTACATTTAATAAAATAATAACATTTTACAGTTATGTTATATGGTCTTTCTGGAATTGAGATGTACTTAGTCACGTAAAACATAAACATTATTTGGTTTGTATCTGTAAATTCTCAAATTCTTTATTTTTCTTTATTAAAAAGTAAAAAATATGACTCTAGATGACTCAATATGTCTCAATTTACCTTTACAGAATTTTTGGTTAGTTCCAGCCTGATGGACTTGTTATTTTCTTACATAGACCATTTGTAAATTAGAGAAAAAATTGAATATTGGAAAGAACCAATATTCAAAAAGTTAAGTTCAAGTTAAGTGAACCTTAGCGTAGTGGTTGTTAATAATTGATATCGGTGAGCGAGCTGGTCTAGTGATAGCGCAGGACTTCGGACCCAGAGGTTCAAGGCTCAAATCCTGCCATTCAACAATGGATTTTATCATTGACAGTCAAAGATTTTACCCATGTTATTACCACGTACCCCTCTCTAGGTCTAACCTGAAATAATGTGTGAAAACAGTTCCGGGCTAGAGCCTAATGAAAAATCCCATCTGGATCCAGAATCAATCTCAACAACCTTATTTTTGAAAGCAAACACTTTATCAACTCATCTACCCAGAAAGATTGTTGTTAAATAGAGATTTAATTTAATTTGGTTTTGGTAAATAAAAATATAACTTGTATAAGGCACCTTATACCTGAGCCCAAGTGATCTTTACTAAAATGTTAATTGTAACTAGTTAGAAATCCTTGATCAAATATGGAAGTGTTTTAATACTTTTGTACTACTGTGATCCCTAATATCATACAGAATTATTTTTAAATGTGAATGTTTGTTGGATTGTTACATACCAACATGTATTTTCTTGATTGTTTATTTTGCTCACAACACCTTTTTCTACATGAAACACACTTTGTGAAATAAATAAGCCCAATTAGAGTCATTTGATTCCTTACTGATTTTTCTTATAAGTTTCTTTACCTTGTTAAATAATATGTAATTAATTTCCTATAATAGAAACAAATTAATTTATATTCAATTTTATATCTTCAGAAGCTATGACTTTTTTTGTACTAAAATAAAAATCTACTTTTGTAGGCCTATTGTTTTTGTGTAAGCGTATTGTCACTTTTATGAATATTATTGTACTGTAAATCCTATTTATTCAATTATTCCATCAAATTATTAAATTCAAAATTCATTACCTGGAAAACAAATGTAATGCAAGTAACAATCCTCAGTAAATTACATAAAAATGTTTTTTGTATCTATGTCCATTAGCAGCTAAGTTTGTAAAAATGTTGTTATTTCAGAAAACATTTAATTTCATTCCGCAATAATAATAAATACACACAATGTGTTATGCAAAATAAACTTTCGCTTCATTATGAAATGCAAACATGGTCAGTGCTCTGTAATATAATATTATTTAATTTGTTGAGTAAAGCAGTAGCATGTGATGATTCTAAAAACTAAAACGTTGTTGTGGGTGCTCATGTTATTTGTATGACTTCTCGAATAAAAATTATGTTTATTTTCATTTGTGTCAACCATTTTAGCCTTTAAAATATTTTCAGACGAGAAAACATTGAATGTTGGTTAAAAACACACTCAATTAGCTGTCTTCAATAATTTAACCCTTCCAGGACTATAATGGGATATATCCGCTAGCATTTTGTGCATAGCAGAAGGGGCTGGGACGGTAGGCAGATATATTCGCTTAACTTTTTGGGCTCCGCGGTCCGCGGACAGTAGTTGGCGGGTATATCTGCCATTACTACAGCTATTGTTATGGTTGATTGTCTATAGCATCATTAATCTTCGTAAAAAAACGTCCATTTATTCAATTATATCTTCAACGATGTACTTGGAGGGTTTTTCTAGAAGAATAAGAAATTTCATTTATAGAAAAATCTTTATGCAAAAAAGTGCTTAATAAAAAAAAGTAAACAAAAATATTTTGTACAAAAGTGCTGCGTAGGTTAACTATTTACAACATTCTTTAAATTATAGATGTAAACTAGATATTTTTTAGTTTTTATTTAAATAAAATAATTTTGCTGTCTGTATACATACTATAGGCCATCTGGGAAGGGTTAATTTACAAATGTGACAAATCCAATGCAACAGAGTAGGTCGATGTGAAAAGCTAAATAAAGTTTAAAAGCCGACAACTTCTTGATAAAAAGAAAAAAGTGTCTTTACAAATTACAAACATTTAGATATAAAGTTATTTGCGAAGTAAATTGGGGCAATTAATCAAAGTTGACTTTCAACAAAGTTTAGACAAGTTTTTAACATGATCATAACTGGCTCTGCACCTGATGTAAAACATGTTTGATAGATGTTTATGCCAAAGAAAATTACCACACCATGTTACGCTAGTAACTTCTTACCTTAAAAACCTGTTAAAGTTGATGCTTTGTATTGCTTTATGTAATGATAGAACTACATCATTTGGAACAGAGATTTGCTAAAATAGATATACTGTATCTGTAAACCGTTTTTGTTCTCATTTAAGAGTCATTAGAGGCTATCGGCAATCTTGGATTAATTTCAAACAGCTGCTAAAAAGTTATTTATCTTCCCAATATTTTTTCAAATACCAAAGTGATTGTAACTAAAATATCTAGGGCGCTGTGGGATTAGAAATTGTCTCTGTAGTTTTGTAATTGTGTTTAGTGAGTTAAAAAGTCTAGGCTCCAAGTTAAAAGTTACTCATGGGCAATCGTAACATCTCAACATTAAGGCACAGTGAACCTTATACCAAAGATGTTTGAAATTTTGATTAAAATTATTTCACAGTGCACAATGTGTTGTGTTGATTAAAATTCGTTCACTTGTACATTGTGTTGGCAATTTATTATATATTAGAAAAATGCAATCTTTACACAATATACAAGAAGCAGTAGTAAAAGTCTTATACGAGATGGCGGCATTTTAGTTAAATGTTGCAATGCATCATGACTGATTCAATTTAGTTCTCATTACCTCTTCTGCGTTGTTTACTAATCAAACATGGAGGTTTATGTAAACAGCCACATCGTGGTTATTGATCTTCTATTGGACATTGCGTGTAACTATTTGTATTTGAACTTGCATTTGAGTTGTCTGTGTGTTTGACGTTTGTCATACAAGTGGTTAATTTATAAAGAGTATTCAATTGGTTCTATAACTTTTCACTTGCTAAGGTAAATATTTTACTCAAAGAAAAGGGTTTATTATTTTTTAAAGAGATGAAAATATGCTGGATTCATAATATTATTGTAATGTAAAATCTATTTGTTTATTTATATACCTTGTTAAAACTAGCTCTCCATAACATTCACAATGTGGAAATTTGTCTCAAACATTCACTTGCAAAAGTTTTTTTAGTGTTTTTGTATTTCATATACAGTACTACTTTCTCCCCTGTACACATGGAGAAAATATTGTTTTTATCAAAATAATCGAGTTGGAGTTTTGAGTGCGAGTAACCGGTTTGGGTTATTCTGAACCCAAAAAATTTGTTTTTGAAGTGGTGCGTGTGTGTGTATTTAAGTGAGTAAGAGGTATAGACTACACCTGTGGTCCGATTTTGACGAAATTTGGAACAGGGGTACATTAAACCATGGTATCCCTTGTTGATCTTTAGATTTTTTCAAATTTTGATTTTCAATGGTGATTTTCCCATAAAGCTCATTGAATAACAGAAAATTTTTACAAAAACGGCTCGAATGATTTTGATTAAAATTTGGTATTTTATAGACCTAACTAAGAACATCTATTGTTAATTAACGGGCTCACCGAACAAATTTGAAGGTATATTCAATCAGTTTTTTGTAACTATAGACAGTCTACTAACACTAATAAGTCAAATATTTTGAATTACTCAACAAAGTAGTTATAGCTATTGAGATTGCTCCACACACGTAGTTTGTGTGTAAAGTCCATTTACTGTCTGATAGAACTGTCCGGTGACCAGACAGAACCAAGTGTCACTGACAGACAAATGGATCGACTACATAATAAATGACTTAAGTTGGCAGACAGCGTTGAGTTGAGAACTAAATGTGCCTCACTCGATGTGTCTAGCAGTTATTTGGTTAAAACAGGCTTTTTATTAAAGACTATTAGTTATTACCATCAACTCATTTGTAAAATGACAGTGTTGTTATTTTGATAACATTAGTTTGTAAACAATGAAGTAGATAAGGCTTTTCCATAACATTTTCCTAAAAATTAACAACTAACAAAAGCTTGGTGTTTGGTGTATCCCTTGACGGCAACCAAAATGGATTTGTTTGTTAACAAATATTGTTACAGTTGTTATGACTGATCGGGCATTATGTTTATCCACGTTCGCTCTTGGGAAATCGTACTATCTACTACAGCATTGCTGTTTGTTTTTGGTTAACCAACTGCGTTTCAGTATGTTGTGACCAACGATGTCGTTGGTTGTGGTTGAAGCTCACAAATTTAATCCACAATCGCTTTTTGGGACGAGTATCTACATTCTACAATGATACAGAAACAAGCAAAGTTGACAGTCGTTAAATTATTAAAGCTGTATGGGTTTTGCAATTCTTTAAATATATCGATTTTGTAATTTGTATCTACTATCATTGGGGAATCATACTCTATAGAATACATTGTATAATGACGACTGTAAAAATCGCAATCCAAAAATTATTGTATACGAGTACGAATGATACCTTAAAGTTAAAATACTTTAATGTAATATTCGTAAAAATTATGAGACTGAACACAATTAATAATAAACAATATCAGCATTCTAACACAACTGATGGGTGGTGGGGGTAATTGTGATATTTT